TTAACTATATTATATTGTTGTTTAAAAAACATTAATATTTAAACCAAAATTAAATATTAATCTCTCCGTTGGAGGAAAGTTCATGAGTTTTATTTTAAATTAATGTATTATAATTTTTTATAATTTTAATTTCATGATATGAAATTTTGTTATTAGTTGAGTTTTTCTTCCTAGCATAACGCGCCTCATTAAAATTTGCCCATGAACATTAAGGGTTCGTTTGGGGCAGCTTATTTGGTGTGGTGGCGTTTTGAAAACGCTGAAAGCAGTGTTTTCACACCACACGTAGATAGGTGAGGTGACAGTTTTCCGACAGCGGACATGCTTTTCCAAAAAAAATAAAATTTGTAATAACCACTACACTTAGCTTATCAGCAAATTATTTTTAATCGACTTAGCAACAGATTATTCAATAAGCTGCAGCTGCCCCAAACATACTCTTAATTAATTAAACAAATAAAGTATTATATTTTTCTTAAATATTTATTTGATAAATTAGTAAATTTTATTAGCTCTTTACTTGATAAATTTATGATCCCCACCAAATAGGGCTCATCTACCATCACTTCAAATTATGATCTTCCAACTATCATCTTTCAACTTTGGTTTACCAGATGTCGTCGGATGAATATAACCTTCGAACCACAATCATTTGGCTAGAGCGACTGACCATTATGGACTGTCATTACTTGACTATAAATCTTGAAGCCATTATGATTGATCTACGATTGTTCTGACATCATCGCTAGATTACAATCCCCGGATCACAATGGTTAGAATATGATCTCCAAACTATGCTACTTTAGTTTTTATCCATAATTGTTTCACAGCAATCATCTGACCACTTTCGTTTCATTATGTCCTAACCATTTTTGGCTAATAAAAGCCTCCTAAACCCCACTTCCCGCTGCAATCGCTTGATTATCATTATTCAACCACAACATCACTACCATGTCATCTAATTATGTTCTCTTGACAACCATAATTAAGTATAATCGTCCAACTATTATATAAAAATTATAATCGCCCAACTAAAATCTCTCTACTAGCACAATTTGATCACGATGTCTCACTGTCATCACTTGAATTTGGCATTCTAAACACTATACCCTAACTATACTCTCAAGACCACTATCCCTTAATTTTATCAACATACAACGAGTTTGTCGTCCTCATCACTTGTATCACCATATTGTTAATCTAAATCATTGCCTATAGGGCTTATACATGTTGTCGATCTATTGTATCACTTACAAAAATGATGCACGCTTTTGACACCAACATCGATACATGCAAACTTTGTTATAAATCATTACGAACAATATTGTCACATGTCATTATCTGTATGACATATATATATCATTGATGATATGAACTATCATTTATAAAACAGATGCACACTCTTGACATTAAAATCAACATCAATCAATTTTGTTGATTGTTATTATCAACTACACAGACACATGTCAATTTCAACAAATTTGATGCATGATGCATGTCTTGACCTCAACTCTGACTCTGAATATTAAAAGTAATATAAATTTTATTTTTTTCTTCTTATCTAAATTGATTGAACTGTTATATTTAATTTTATAAATATATAATTATTTCTATAAATTATAGTGCATTAATTTTAAATTTTTTAATTCTTATTAGATGACAATAGGAAATTAATAAAATGGTATGTGGGCTAAAGCATATAGATATTCATTTCAGAGCGGCAAAATGTGTGATGCGCGCAATTTTGTACCTTTTTTCTATTGAAGAGAGGGTTCTAATTTGGGCCATCCAAATTTGTACAAGGCCCGCAAATGGTGGAGCCCACATCAAAGGCATATTAACCATATTATGTACCGCGAAGCAATTGAAACCTAAAATCTAACAATCAAACTTCAAAATGAAGGATTACATATCATTTTTGGCAATTACTCTCTCTAACTGTAAGTCTCCACCTCTTTCACTTTATTTCTAAGAGTATTTACATTTCTAACCTCTAAACTTACATTTTTTTTTACATTCATAACATTCAATGTTTTATTATCACATAAATAATATTACTATAACTAATTTTTTTAAAAGAGGAATACATCATTTCATGTACTTGTTTATAACACTAAAGTGTCATAAATATAAATATAAAATTTTTGATGTTAGATATCTAAATATATAAGCATTGCATGACATGATTGTAAATTATGCTTGTAAATTATAGAAATGTTAAAAAATAACTCAAACCGTTGATGTAACTCAGAAAATTTGGATTTGAGTAAACTCAATTAACTTTCGGGTTAGATTCAAGCGCCGAATCCTCGTAAATATCCATAGAATTATCAATTAGTTCTAATGAATCTTAGAGTTGCTCGTCATATTTACTCTTATAACACTTTGGTGTTATAAATCAATGCATGAAAATATGTATTTCACTTTTAAAATTTTAGTGCTTTTAATATTGGTATGTATGTAAATAGAAATATTTATGGATAAGAATTGTGTGGTATGTATGCAAATGCCCGTAGTTTTAATATATACATAAAATTTAATTTCATAATACATACCACACAAAATTATGTATTTACATATCTAATGCCTGAACTTCATTTTGTTACACCCCACCTTCCCTATTCAGGAAAATGTGTATTTCCAATAGTGGTATTTTTTATGTGTAATGAAAGGTTTGGGTGGTATAAATGTAAAAATTAAAGTTTAGAAGTTAGATATGTAAATACATATAAACATATAAATTGGGTGGTATGGTGGTATATATGTAAATGCCCTTTCAAGATATTCGTTCCATCTATGTCTTCTGGTATAGAGTAACGATTTAGATTCCACAAAATGATTTTCTTTTTTCTACGCTTAAGCAACAAAGTTGGGTCAAAAGTCAAAACTCTGAAGGAAAATTAAAAAAAAATCATGTATAATAATTCAGTAAATTTTTTTAGAAAAGATAAATCCAAAAAAAAAAATAATATGTGTGATTCAAATACGGAACTTTACGATGACAAATTACACCTTAAATCAGTATATCGTAGATAAATGCTCATATTCCAACAGCAACATTACAAACAAAAAACATCAATGAAGTAAAGTACGAACATTAGAAAACAAAGAAATGAGATAGAAGAGGCCTTAGCGAGTTGAATCTCTCATAAATTTTATAGATTCTCTTAAATATTTTGGAAAATTTACAAATATACTACTCATTTCTTATGTATTCTTGTATCCAACACAAAAGCTTCAACTTTTCCCTGTCACTTGCGTGTGCATGAAAGTTATATTTCATATTTGAAAAGTTAAAATAGTGTGGCACTTCTTAGTGATATAAGAGATTTGGATGGGGTGTTAAGATATGCAAATACATAAGAATTGAATGATATCTATGTAGAGCCAGGTGTCACCTCTACTAGTCCTGACTTTTATAAATGATCGGGTTTGTTAATGATAAGACTTTGGTTGGCTTGTGACTACTTAGGCTATGTTGTGCAATTTTTTATTTTCCTTTTTTCTTTCCCATTCATGTTTATAGAATTATGTCATGTTATGTAATACTATAAAATTTAATTTTTGTGTTGTTATTCAAATATTTTTGTTTGATACTTATATTAAGCCGGTATTGATTATTCCCATGATGGTTTGAAAACCTTTATCTTAGAGAGCTTCAATTTGTGCGTGCAGTTGAACGATAATTTCATGTTGATATTATTTATTTGCATTGAATTCTCTATTTTTCATACATTTTAGTGCTCCTTAAACATTTGACAGATTATTATACAATTCATTCAATTTCTTAATGCTTGGGTTGATTATCTTATGATGCTTATATGATCCTCAATTTAAGTTTCGTGGTCATTTTTTTCCTCTCTCTCTCTCTCTCTCTTCTCTTCTTTGTTTCATTATTGGTTTCATTATTGAACTTCTTTTTTTCGTCTTTTAGAGCCCCTACATCATGGTGTTTAGGTTATAGCTTTGTTTCATTATTAAACTTCTTTTTTTGGTCTTTAGAGCCTCTACATCATAGTGTTTAGGTTATATTTTTGTAACAGCCTTTTGTTTTTTTAATATATTGACCTATTTTTTCCATTTTAAAAAAAACTAAAAAAAAAATCAATTTCCTTCAAATATGAATTAGAATTTAGCCTTTTTCATGCTGTTGTTATTATTATTTTGTCATATGTTGATTTTTATTTTATTTATTTAAATTAATTTTAAAGAAGTGATGCAGCCTCTAAAAATATTTATTTAAACTCAATACATAATATAATACAATGTACTATCCAAATAAAATTTTATGTGATTCTCATCCATTTTGATTGACTCATAAGAAAGCATAAACCCCAATAGTTTTTAAGTAGAAGTTCTGGAGAGTATACTAATAATACTATTAATTTTATTGAGTGATGAAATACTTAAATGCAAGCACAATGCAACCCCCAAGAGAATATTGAAGTAATAAATAAATCTAAAAATTTAACAAATCTTTTGAAAATATCATGATATTATTATTTTGTGCTATTTTATATAAAATAAAGTAGTTATAAAATATTGTGATATATTGACATGTTCACTTAGTAAGACAAAAATGAACAATTATAATTACATCAATATATAATTTGGGTTATAGATTGATACCATTAGAATTTTTTGACACTAAAAAAAATATTTTTATCCTATTTATATCTAATCAATTATGAGATAAAAAATTTGACATTATTATACCAAATTCTATTTTATTCATTTTTCAAATTCCCAACCCCAACCCATATTTTTCATTTTTATCAATTTCTCAATAGTTTTATCTTTGAGCTGTTAGTTTGTAAATAACAATATTTCGGGGGGGTGTATGTAATTATTTCAAAAAATTCTTATAATTCACCTCAAATATTTTAAGACAATTCTCTTCTATTAAAAAAAGGAATAAATAATTCATAGCTGTTAAAAAAGACGGCAACCGAAATTTTTTCTCTAACAGTGAACAAGATAAATTAAAAGATGCGTTTCAATGGCCGTCCTCATAGCTCCCCTCTCTCTCTCTTCTGGTTTTGTTTTCTCTCACCGTAATTTTCTACAACTGCCAGCCCTCTCTGACCCCATACGCACATCCCCCATCATATCCTCGCATCCCTTTGCTTCTCCCCTCCGCTGTCTCTCCTCTTTCTAGCTGTTCCCTGTCCTGTTTCCTCCTTGTTTGAAGGAAAGCGGAGGGGAGGCAGAGATAAAGAAAGGGGAAGGAAGAACAGAGAGGCGAGGAGAAAGAGATAAAGAGATCAGAGGTTGAAAGAATGGCGTTTGCAGGTACTACGCAGAAGTGCATGGCCTGCGATAAAACCGTTTATTTGGTTGACAAACTCACCGCCGACAATCGAATCTATCATAAAGCTTGCTTTCGATGCCACCATTGCAAGGGAACTCTCAAGGTTTCTTCTTTTCCTCCCTTGTTTCTTCATCCTCTAGAAAAAAAATTTCTTTTTTGCTCTTAGATTGTGTCTCCGTTTCTTATCAGTTTTTATTTCTCTTTAATTGGTGACATTTTTGTTTAGAAAGCATGGTTTAGATCAAGTTAGTGCTATAATATGGATCTGGAAGACCTCTTACAGGACCAATGGTTTTCATCTTCTTATCTATAAATTCATTCGTTAATGCAATGAATATTGGGGCTGAATTGTATTTCTATCTTGTTATTTGCACTCGATTTGCTCTTATAGTTTTTGCTATCTTTCAATTAAGATCCCGGCATCAAATACAGCTTTAAAGCTATTTTCTTCCCTGCAGCTTGGAAATTACAATTCATTTGATGGAGTTCTATACTGCAAACCTCACTTTGATCAGATCTTTAAGAGAACTGGCAGCCTTGAGAAAAGCTTTGAAGGTAACCGGACTTACAGAACTCCTTTATTATATAGCATACATGCCTTTAGTTAGTCGTAATTTTGTTAATATTCTTTGGTTTTTTTTTAGGCACACCAAAGGTTGTCAAACCAGAGAAACATGTTGATAACGAGGTACGAAAATTCTAACTTTTCTCTATTCAAATCTTTATAATTTTAAAACCTTCTCTTTTGCAAGCTGTTTTTTTTCCCCAAGTTAAGCAGGTCTAGCTCAAGCCATATTCTCCTTGGATCTTGACCTTCTTTAAAACATAATATTTACTATCTTTTAACTCCGTAGTTTAGCAGTAACAGTCTTCGATTCCATTACTGAAATATTGTGGATTTGTCTCTGTCCTCTGGAAAAAAACTGATGATTGTAGAATTTGGTATTCATGACACAGAAACCAACGGCTAGTAAAGTATCAAGCGCTTTTGCTGGGACCAGAGAGAAATGTGTTGGATGCAACAAGACGGTTTATCCAATTGAAAGGGTAATGTTGTTCAAATATGTTGATATTTTGGGAAACCTTTTCTTTTCTCATTGAGAGACAAATACATCTGATCCGCCATTGTTGACAAGATAAGGCTTGGTTTCATATTAATCTTGTTTGGTGAACTCATACAGGTGACCGTTAATGGAACTCCTTATCACAAGAGCTGCTTCAAGTGCTCTTATGGCGGCTGTGTCATCAGCCCTTCAAACTATATAGCACATGAAGGGAAGCTCTACTGCAAGCACCACCACGTTCAGCTGATTAAGGAGAAAGGCAACTTGAGCCAGCTGGAGAATGATCATGGTAAGCTGGTTGTGGAAACCTCTGTCAGCCCAACGGCTATGGAAGCATAAAGGTGTTTCATGGATGTTTTCAGGAAGCTTCATCTTGTGTTTCAGTATGCTGTGCTTTAATTTCTTCTTTCATCTTCTTGAGGATTGTGAGTTGTATGATTACAGTATAATTTGCGTTAATTTTCTTGTGTGCTTGAGGGGAAAAGGATCCAGAGTTGGGTTCCTTAACCTACTGTGTTTCCTCCTTGAACCAATAAAATGTAATCGGATTTATATTGAGTTTAAATTTATCACAAGGAGTTCTCAGATTCTGTGCTGAAATCCTGACAAATTTTCTCAAATTTACACGCCTCACACATAAACTTTCATATTTTCATACATATGAATTAATTGGATTTATGGTCTTGAGCAGGACAGAAGAAGTTATAAATGAGTTGTATATGTAATAAATATAGCAAAATATAGAAAAAGTACAAAAGCGTGTTGCCCAAATACAGACTCAAACACATAATAATAGTCGGTCGTTTGATATGGAACAGTCGTTGGATCTTTTAAGGTTATGAGCCAAATGTCTTCACCTAATGTAGGTGGCCACCAAACTGGATCAATCCATGGGTCTGTCGATTCCCAAGCAGAATCTATCTTATCCCTAGCGGGCGCCCTAAATCTAGCTGGTGTGTCCACCTCAATCCTGGTTAACTAATCTTCTTGGAACTTGGCCGGCGAAGTTGTGTTCGTGTTCTTCGTTGTGCAAGACTGTCCTTAGGATCTGCACATACATACCTCATTAAGCTGACTTGTGCCTTCACAGGCAAATTTCATACTTAACTGCCCTCCTAATCAGCTTTATAATCGTAGTAGTATAAAAAAAAATTACAATGAGACTTAATGTGATTAGAACTGATTCTATCATATCTACTTGAGTTACATGAATTTCAACATATTACTGAAGTTATAATTATGTATGTATGAAAAATGTTTCTTTAAAATTCTAAAAGGCCAAGATCATAAGTATAAGACTGGGAATTACATAATTCACCTTCCAGATATTACGATCATTTCTGTGCAGAATTCTTTTTTCCAGCTAACATAAAGCCTGCATGGTTAAATGTTTCTTGACACCTGAAAGAACTAGTTTTTTCTTATGAAAATTGCTTGGTGTTTGCCGGCGTTCAATCCATTTCAATGCAGATCCAGAATTTGTTTCGTTGATTAGCAATATGCTGATAATGATGGAAAACAATTAACAGCTCAAAGGCTGTTATTGGCGCATCATTTAAAATAACCAAACAACCAGACAACAGTGAACATCAGTGATGCAGATAGTGCTTTTCTCGTACAACATCACAGTCAAAGGATTTGGTGGCTGCTTTTATTAAACGTAAAGTGAAGGAAACTTTATAAAATGCAATATTGCTATATTTATAGGTTGCACCGAAGATCATGAAGCTGTTTAATTATAATTATTCTGTGAGACTGCCAGTCATATCTGCACTTTGATAGCAGTTGCATAGTAGGAACAAAAATATATGCGGTTCATAAGTTAACATCAAAATTAGGCCAGATTTGAGAAGATAGCACATTATAGCTGATGATTAATAGATTATGTGTTAAGTAACTTTCTTTAGGTTAATTTATTTGAACATTAATGTGGCTGGTCGATAGGATCTAGGGCACTAATAATCAAGGGTTTGTGGCCTTTGTATTATGTGATCTTGAGGTCTTTTTTGGTTTCTAATCATGTAAAGAAACCCAATCCCTCAGAAAATCTCATCTGACCTTTTTGGCTCTGCGAGATCTGCAGCGGGGGCAGACTCAGGGTCTGTTTGGGGCAGCTACAACTTATCCAGCT